CTTTTATAAATTTCTCTTAGTTTTTTTCTCGCTTCTATGTTTAGTTATTTGTAAATCAAATAAAAATTCTATTATAATTGTCTACAATTATTTGTGATAATTTTTCTTAAATTTATAATAAAGTATTTTAAAGATATAATATTAGTTTTTAATAGTTAAATGTGATAAATAATCATTAAAAAATATTCTTCTGTTCTCAAGATTTTTTTTTGTTGGAAACAATAATTAATAGTTAAAATTATTAATAAAAAGGTATAAATATTTATGAAAAATATCTCAAAAAATTTAAACCTGAATAAAACCAAAACTAAATCAAATCGGTTGGAGAAGAAAACTAAATAGCTTTCTTTGGTGAAACAATAAGTATAGTTCGATTTGGTTTTTAATCGAAGGTAGTACCTACTCACCTCTACCTCTCTACTATAAATCTCAGTTATCAATTATTAATATTACAAAGCGATGTCTTCGATCTGGACAATTGAACGGACGTTCTCATCTGAAAATCGACTAAGTTCATTGTGAGAGAACCAGACGACTTTGATTGATTAAAACAACTTGATCGTCCGTCTTCTCCTGTATCAGGAAACGTGAGAAACAAATTTCCTTTTCTAGTGAGATGTATAAGATAAAATTACCAATCCATTAACCCGTTTAATTATCTATGTATTTTAATTTATAAATACATATTTGAGTAAAATGAAACCTCTTTTTCGATGATTTATCCTAATTTCAGAAATGATCAATAACTTTCCCAACAAAGAAAGTATCTGATTCATTTAAAATTTTAACTTTGGATAGCTGAAATCAGATTAAATTAGGACAGTCTAGAAAACAGGTGCGTGAACATTTGTCACACCAACATATATGTTTAAAATCCCAAAATACTCCCTCAATCTCAAATTATAAGATAATTTTAAATAAAATTATGCATAATAATAAAGCTTATTAAATACACTTTATAATTTTATTTTCAATTATATACTCATTAAATATCCTATAAAAGTGTCTTAATAATGATTCCAATGCATCTTTTTTCAAGAAAAGTAATAAATTAATAAAGTAGGGTTATACTTTCTCTAGTTTTATTTGTAGGACATCTTTTAAAAGTAAATTTTGTAATAATTAAATTACTTTTTTAATTATATCATTTCTTGATTAACATAAAGATATTTAATGTAGTTATATTATTATTTAAAATTAATGGTAAAATGAAAATATATATCTCATTTTTATTATATAAAATAATTAATTTTTTTTAAGATGTATAAAATTATTAAAAGTTTCCTTTAATAAAAACTGAAGTAAGTATACATAGAAGTGGAAAAAAAAACAGTTATAAAAATTATCAAGATCCTATATTCTGGATTAAACAAGATTTTCAAAAGATATTTTATATTATGATTTGGATGGAATAAAAGTTAACGGAGGATGCCAAGGGCTAAAAACATGGAGGAGATGGATAAAGTTCCAAAGAGTTAAAATTAAAGTTGGACGCCAACACCAAGAGATCATTCAAAGAATAAACGAATTAAGAAGTTAATAAAGCTGCTGAACTTTAAAATTCCCATGTTAATTAATTAATTAGTTCGTTGCCACTAACAAGAGAAATTAAATTAGTGGAAGAGAACAACCTTTGTGGACTGCCAAGGCAGACCCATAATTTAGATGATTTCCTACAGGCAGAAAATGTGGATTGAGTTGGTGTAAGCAGGTGATGAGTCTGATTTGAGCCAGGTAATTTCTGAAATTTTGCAGAAATTATTGAAAGCCATGAAACGAGCCAATTCAATTTGAGCCATGGAAAAAGATGATGTTAATTCAAAGATTGAAGGATAGTGAAAAGAGGTTTGGCGAATCTGGTTTCAGCAATCATGAAAAACAAAAGCGTGGAAGAAGCAGTGTTAGTCGTAGTTTCAGAGATTGTGTTCATTGTGAAAGATGTCGCGGTGATTAAAGTTTCATCATGGATTGATGAACTTTGTAGGTTTGTGAGCTTTCTGAAAGAAGCTCTGGAGGCTATGTATGCATGGATTGTGGAAATAGGGAAGCTTTTGGGCCAAACTGTTTCATGGATTTTTGACAAGCAGGTGATTGCAGCGTTTCATCAGTACATCGCATCAGCAATTAAAGGCTTCTTTTCTTAGGAGGCCGAAACATCAACAGGGATTTTAAGGATTATGGAAGCACCTTGGAGCTATATATATGTATGTATATATGTTTGTGCAACTGGGCTTGCATGATTATGTTTGTATTACGTTGGTCTCTTTGTTATGTCGTCTCAGTTTGTTAATGAAAATCTGAGCTTGTATACAATAACATTAACAATTATCTCAAATGTTAAAAAAAAAAAAACCTAAAAATGTTTTTAAGTTAAACTATATTTTTAATCTTTTAACTTTATATAAAATTTTAATTTAATTTTTTAATTGTATAAAGTATCTTTTAAGTTTTTTAACCCTAATCAAATTATTTTTTTACTAATAATTATTATTTTAAAAAATTAAATTTAATATATCAATATTCAAAGATGTTTTGTTGATATTTTAAAATTTAATGACATGAAACTAATGACCCGTTTGGTATAATGGAAATGAGAGGTATGGAAATGAAAATAGAATTGGAATTGAGAAGAATGTTTGTTTGGTATGATAGAATTGAAAAAATTTTTAGTTCCATTTCCACCAAAACATGTGGAATTGATTTCCATAATACAATCCAAGGATTTCAAACTCCATGTTCTCCATCTCATTTTTACCCCCCCTCGTTCAGTCAGTGTTATTCATTGTCCTCTTCAAAGTCCAACCTTCTCCTTGCCTTCTCCCTCCTCCTCGTCGGCGACCTAATCCCTACTCCTCGCAGGCGACTTTCCTCCCCCTCCTATTGGTGACCTTCTCCACACTCTTGGCTGATGACCTTTTGACCTTCTCCCCCCTCACTGTCAGTGACCTTCTCCCCACTCCTCATAGGTGACCTTCGCCCCCTTCTCGCTGGCAACCTTCTCCACACTCCTCACTAGTGACCTTTTGACCTTCTTCTACCCTTACTATCGATTCCATTTCCTAAGCCATTATCGTTGAGCAAAATCCAGATCTGCCTCCAAGAAGCAGCATTAAAGTGATGAACAGCACAGTGAAAGAGGCGAATGTTGTAGCAATCGATCAAAAGGGAGTTCCACTCAACAAGAGCTTCACTCAAATTTTGAACACCGAGAGGCATCATCATTAAAGAGCAAAGCATGACAGGATGGTGGTTTTAATTTTTTTTTGGTTACAAATTCTAGATTGCAATTGTAATTTTGCATCAAATAATTAGTGGGTTTGATTTGAGGAAAACAAATTTCATTGCTTTCATTTGGTAGAATGGAACTAGATGGTAGTTTATTTTTTAGGGTAAGACTGGATGTAGTTTAAGGAGGGTATTTTAGTTTTTTGAATGACAATTATATCATGATTTCATAGACATACCAAATATATTTTTAAACCTCACTTCCATATGAATTTCTATATCCATTTCTATCAAAATCAATTCCAACATATCAAATGGAAAATAAGATGTTAGGGTTAAATGATTAAAATGACATTTTATTAAAGGTATATTTCAACTAATGTTTTAACTGTTTTTTTCCTTGCTCCCATTGATGAATAATATATCACACTGGGATTGTACAAAAGTTTGATTGTCTTATCTAACCCAAAAAGTCTAATCCTATCCAGTCCAGTAAAAAAATGGTCCAAAAAACTAGAAACCAAAAAAATCAAACTAACTTATCGAGTTGGATCGGACAAGAGGCTAAACTCTCAGACCACTTGGTCCAGTCCGATTCGATGAAATTATTTTAATTATTTTTAATATATTTAAATAGCTTAAAATTTGAAACACATTATTCCTTCATTCACATTTCACACTTTTATTTAATATAATTTTAATTTAATTTGCTACTAAATTATTGTTCTAATGTTTGTTAGACATGTTGCTAGCTAAAATTTGTTGAATGTTGTTGTTGCTGTTGTTGAAGTTATGAATTTGAATCATGTAGATTGTAATTAAAATATTTGTTTTTGTTGTTGTTAGATATTATAATGTATTTTTCTATAATTATAAATATTTTTATTATCTTAATTTACTTTATCAGGATGAGATGAATTGTTATTTCTCATACAGGAAAAAAAAATAATTGAGTACTAGACTATCAAGACTAGTCTCCTAGTCCTATAGATCAAATTTGGGCTTGTTAATTTTTGAATTACAATTGGACTAGATCGAACTATAAATTATGTAATCCGGTCCTTTTTATGTAAGACATCAAAATTCAGTCTTGTCTAATCTTTGTGCAGCCCTAGTCACACATGTATGTATATATATATATATATATATGAATGTTTTTTATATAAGTCAGACCAGAAGTGATATTACAGATCATTCAAAATTCAAATTTTGTTAAAAAAAATAAAATTTCAGTGTCAAAAAATAAGGCAGTAGTTACTTCAATAAGTAATGGTGAACAAATAAACGACTACATCATGCACGCCAGTAATATTAAGTGTATTAAGACGATAACTAAGAACAAAGATTGCTATTTGCTAACATGATAGATTGAATTTGAAACCATATTAAAATTTTTACATTTAAAATTTATGTTTTTAAAATTTTGGATAGTGTGAAAAATTTTAAAGATGGGAGAGAGAAATCTAAAATTTTAATCAAAAAGGTGAAACAAATGAGAGAGTTCGGAATAGCTCAAACCTCAATCTATGAACTTTTATCTATTCAAATAAAATTTGATTAATTTAAATTGAAATCCAAATTCTCATACGTTCAGACCTATTTTTTAAAAAATATCATGAAATGCCTCAGTCTTAAGCCTTAGTAGTTTTTTTTTTTTTTTCAGCCTAAATGATGAAGTTAGTAATTAGTAAGGCATGCCGGGGGCATTTCTGTCTTTGGATAGGAATTGTCAAACGACTTTCAACGGTCTCGCCATCCCAGTGATCTCCCGCCAAAGTCCTAACAGAACCAGAACCTCGAAGAAAGACAAAACCCTCTCTCAATTTCGAGCTTAATCAATGGCTGCCTCTTGTCTTCTTCTTCCTCTTCTATACACTCTCTCCTTCTTCTCCCTTTCCTCTTCTCTCTCCCATGAAACTATCCTTGACGCAGCCGACATTCTCTCCGATTCAGGATACAGCTCCATGTCTCTTACTCTCCAAGCCCTTTATCAAACTCTCCTTTCACAAACTCCTTCTCTCACCATCTTCGCTCCATCGGATTCTTCATTTAGAAAATCGGGTCAGCCTTCTCTTGATATCCTCCGTTTCCACTTCTCCCCCCTACCGTTGCCTCCACAAAACCTCCGATTGCTCCCCGCGGGCTCGGAGATTCCAACGATGCTGAATAACCACTCTCTGATCGTCACCGAGTCGCATTCCGATTTCGAGATTTCGCTTAACTACGTCCAAATCATTGGCTCCTCGCCGATTTATGAGGATGGCCTTTTCCTAATCTACGGAATCGACAGTTTCTTCGATCCCAATTCTCAGTATACTACAGCATCTCAGGGACCTAGCCCTAATCTGTTGTGTGGGTTGAAAAGCCAGACTACGAGTTCCTCCGATTCGCTCGGTCAAGCCATGGAAACACTTAGATCCACAGGGTACTCTGTGACGGCGACGTTTCTTGCTTTGCAAATGAATGGAATCAAGGATGACGCCACGATGACCGTTTTTGCTCCTGAAGATGAAATGGTGAAGAACCTGCTTGGGAATTTCAGCGAGTACCCATCGTTCTTTTTTCGCCATGTTGTACCGTGTAAGCTTCTCTGGAATGATCTGGTGGACTTGGACAACGTGTCGGAGTTACCCACGATTTTGGAGGGTTTTTCTGTTAACGTCACGAGGTCTGGTGGTGTTTTGGTGCTGAACGGAGTCTCAGTTGTCTTTCCAAATATGTTCCACAATGACAAGCTTGTTGTTCATGGCGTTAGTGATGTTCTTGTGGCGCTTTAGACGTCGTCGTAGAAGCTTTCTTTGATGTGGTAGGCAGATTTAAAGATACTCCATCGTTATTTCTGAAGTACTTGTTGCTTATTGGTTTCAAGTTTTCAACTGCTTACCTCTGGTGGTGCTACCGACTTCTGATTCAACAATCGGTTAATATTCGAAGGGTTTGACTTTGTTCATGGAAGTTCTCATTTTTTTTGTTTTTTTTCTGTATGTGGCACTGAAAGAGGGAGAGTTATATTGCTGAGAGGAAATAGATCCTTTACATTGGATCATATCCACATGGATCCTCACCCCATTTTTGGTTCTCTCTGGTTTTTCTTTAGTGGTAGCTTTCTTAATTGTTGCTAATAAAAAAATCTTGTGAACATGATTATATTTTCTTAAAAAGCTATTTTTTTAGGGTCTAACTTGACCAAAATTTTAGTTACACAGACTCAAAGTTAGCATTTAATAATGGAAACCCATTTCTTGCTAGCCCAATTAATATTTTAGATCACTAATATTCAACATGTCATCATTGAATGATTTAATGATGGAAAACATTGGAACAATTTCACTGCCATTTTTATTGTAGAAAAAGTAGACTAGGTATACATGACACTTTTGTGACTCAACAAATATTTGCTTTTTTTTATATGGATACAACTTCTCTCCCTCCCTCTCCCCCCTCCCTCCATATCTCTCTCTCTCTCTCTCTCTCTGTATAGGTAAATATATAGCAAGCTAGATTATACTACTCTCTTGAAACTCAAACGGTGCAGCTTCGCTTCACCTTGGTTTCATCCCCTAATATGGGGTACAATAGAACACCAATGACCTACTTCCTTTCGGCTTCTAATTTTCTGTTGTACAATCTATACTTCCCTTGCTGTGTTTGAGAATGATGAATTTGCACTGTTGTTGCGGTTCTTGCTAAATCTGTTCTTTAGTTTTTGTGCAAAGGATGGTTTCGCAAACTCCTCCTCCCTTTGGGGGCGGTTTGCATAGAGTATCCAGAGAACAAGACAGAGCAAGACACCAACTGAAATGAGACCAAGCCCTGCATTGATAACCTTAAGATAATGGTTCAATGGAGAACAGTAACTTGAAGTGATTTCTTGGAATGTTTCCCTCACAAAATTGCAATTTTGAAGGTTGAGTAAGAGTGGTGTATAATGTTCTAATGCATAGCTTTCGTTAACGGCACCCACCAACTGTGAGTAAATCTCCGGCGTCACCCTGCCGACGCTGCTGCAAAAACCATATTCTGTTACCTGGCACTCGTAGTTCTTCCACACCTGAAAAGTTTGATCAGGGAAAAACACGATCATTTTGACAAAATGATCATCGCTAAAGTTCCAGCAGAGCGTAAATGTACATATCTTTTTCAATTAAGTGATGAACTTGTTAGAACTTACCAATGAGGCATTGGAGGAGGAAACTCTTGAGATGTACATTGCCGCTCCTTGAGCTGAGAATCAAAAGGGTAGCACAAAGGTGGCATCGCAGGTCCGGACTGATTGTAATAGTTCGGATCATTTGGCGATGCATTTGCATCTGCAATGCTGTAGATGAACCGATTCACGACACTTACAATATTGGTGACCACTTGTTTGCTCTGAACCAGTGTCTTGTTTGTGGTTCTCTGATCAACACAGGGAAGGATGTTGCTAAGAGCAGATTCTGCATGAGGATTCTCTACCCATTCTCCCATAGCCATACATGCATCAGAAATTGCACTGAAATCGAAATAATTCCATCATATCAGGCCAGATCTATTGGCCCTTAATGTCAGTGAGTCACTGCGGATATTGAAACTACCAGAAAATGCAGAATATAGATTTATAGTTTAGTTCAATATTGTCTCGTCGTATGATGGTTTTGTTCTGGATTAAGTTGCAATTTTAATACGGGTGATTACAGGTAGCCAAGTCAATAAATCCGGCATACAGAAGTTTAATAGACCAAAAAAAAAAAAAACAAAAACAAAACAAAACCTTGTAGTGTATAGATACCTAACCATGTCAAAAGTAGGTCCCACTGAAAAGCCCGCTAATGAATGTACTTCTCAAATGTCCATCTATGGTTGGTTTCATCTACCTACTTTTTAAAACAGGGTCTACCTAAGATAAATAATAAATAATAATGAACAATAAAATAACAAAACACATGTAATATGTAAGTGTATTAGATGATAAATAGAAGAAGAAAAAATAATTAAAATTATTTTTTAATTTTCTAAGAGTAAAGAAAATATCTCAAAATCTTGGGAGTATTTTTTTTCTCTCAGGAAAATGACTGCTTTCTTAGTAAATTTTAAATAAATCTGGCTTACAAAAATTTACTAGACTAATCTAAAACTTATCATGCATAGGCACCTAAAAATGTCAAAAGTGGGTTCCACCGAAACGTCTGCTAATAAATACACTTGAATGTTCATCCATGGTTGGTTTAATCTACCAACTTTTTTAAAGACCGGATCCACCTAAGAATTCCTCCTAGTTCCTCCCAAAATAAAGGTCAAAAAGGGGGAAAACAATTCCGGTGGCTTACTTATTAAATATGAGGAACACCCCACAAAGAATGAATGTGACTGCAACTAGTAACCATCCACTGATAACAAATCTGCAACATTTTAAAACCAAATGTCAGAAGTGAGGGCGTGACAAGGATTAGGATTGTTCTCCAACAAACAGGCCATGAGCAAAACAAAGAACAAAAAATAAAAAATAAAAGCTCACATTAGAATTGCATGTTGATGTCCAAGGATAGACAAACCTGCAGAAAATATATTAGCCGGTTATAAAGATGACTTCAAGAATACAGATATAAAAACTAGCTCAAATTTTCAGGCTGTTATAATGGATACATACACAAGCCAATTAGAGCTAAGAGGAGCATCACTGCTGCAACTGCAATCAAAGCTGAGCGCCTGCAAGATGGATTCAAAATTTAGCACCGCAAATTCTGATTTTTGATTCTGAAAACTAAAATACAGAGTGACAAGTCTATGACAACATACACAGCATTGAACACTCTTTTGATTTTGGCAGAATTTTCATCTGTCTTTTCAGACAGTGTATTTGCCGCAGCATTTAGATCCATATTCAAATTGTCAATGTCGTCCATGATATCAGATGGGAGAAGCATCTGAGCGACGTTTATAGTCTTTGCAAGGGAGAGATACTCTGTGACATTTCTCAGAGTTTGCACTGTATAATCAGATTGATTGACAACATAACCTAGGGTTTGCAAGGCTTCGTCATGGAACTTATCCTGCCCAACAGATAGGACGACACATCCAGTCCTGTATAATATAAGATCAGGACAAATTAGCAAGAGAAACATGGAAAGGTTCAACCACATTGTTTTTAAACATGTAAAATAAATAGACATTTTGAGCTGTGTATGAGAGCAGTTTGAAATTCTAAGAAACATTGAGAACATAAAATTACTTTCAGTTTCCATTTCCTTCATCATGTTTGCAAGCTCTAAATAAAAATCAATTAATAGGTTGCAAATGCTGAATACAAGTTTGAAGAGAAATCTTGCTTATCCTATGTTTGGAAACTGATTCCCAGAATTTCAGAGCATGTAACAATCATCAGATTGGAATATATCAAGTAAATTCTACGGACAACCTCCATGTCAAAGTGATGATCCATAAATTACAAATACTAAGTAAGATTACAAAACGTACGAGCAGATAATACAAGAACAGATTAGGAAAATTAGGTATAAGTCTTCAATGACCAGGATGGGGAAACATAGCATAAGAAGTTGACAAAGGAACATTAATATAAAGAGTATTACGCAGCAGCGCAGGTGAATAATATAAGCAGTATCAGACAAATTCTCTGTGAATGATTTGATCCTTCATCCTTGATGTTAATTCCCATCCACAGCATAAATGAATTATAAGAGCCAAGCCAAATGAAATAAACCATAGGCCAGCAAGAATGAAAGCAACAGCACCAGTGAACCCAACTGACTGCATGAAAAACAGTTCAAAGAATTATTCATTCAAGTGAATAACAGAATCGCAAGGCTTATTTGAAACATAGAAAATCTGAATCAGCTCGGAAATAAATAGATTGAGTACTGTATGATAAACTGGTAACCTCAAATATCAGATTCTCAAGCGGTAAACAAGGATGAAAAAAAAAATCATTGCTTGAAAAGGTTAGAAGGCAATAAATTTGAGAGACAATGGAGATAAACCCATACAGATAACCTGAAAATCAGATTCTCAATGGGCATAAATAGATGAAGATGAAGTAAAAACCATTCCTTAAAAGGTTAGAAGGCAACAAAATTTCCCTTTTAACAATGATCAATTTGCAAGAATTTGTCAAATTTGGAAAACCAGAAAATACCCCTGAACTATCACCAAATAAGTGTCCAAAGGGGCATCTCTAATAACAGGATCAAAGAGGAAATGGACAAAATGGTTCAGATTCTGTAAGATGATAGTTTAGAAACATATTTAATAACTTTCAAAGCCGTAAGCATTAACAAGTACCCATAAATGTTTATGACAGAATTGTCAAAGAGAGTTAGCTTAAGGCACGTAACCTTCCTCAGTTCTGGAGTAAAACAGAAAAATGAAAATTATTGCTTAAAGTAGGAAAAAACAGATTAAAGCATCAATAACAGAATAAAGTATCCATTTCACAACATAAAAAATAAAGACTCGTGGTACTTACTGCCCAGTAATGCTTATTGGCAATGTCCCAACCATCTCGATAACGTCGGAAACCTCGAAGAATGTCAGGCCTTTTCGTCCTGGTGCCGCCAATATAAGATTTTCCTGAGGCGAATTTGATCTGGCACTGGTGCTAGAGCCGCTTGTGTGACTTCATTCTTCACGGACCCAAATTCTCTTCTCCTGAAACACACGACAACGTAGGAACAAAATAGATTACAAAATCAAAATATCTTTTATACTCTTCACTGGGATAAAGGATCTTAATTCTACACCAAATTTAAAGCCAAAATAACCCGCAAAAAATAATCACAAAACG